GTAGATAGGGAGAGGGACAGAGATTAGGTAGGTACGTAGGTAGAGGGGGGGGAGAGAGAGAGAAATACAGTAGATAGGGAGAGGGACAGAGATTAGGTAGGTACGTAGGTAGAGGGGGGGGAGAGAGAGAGAAATACAGTAGGTAGGCAGGGAGAGAGTGAGAGTAGGTAGGTAGATGTTTCCAGGTGTATTTATCCATGTGCTGGAGAAGAAAATAGCTGACAATCTGCAGCACCTAAGACTTAGTTTCTGCTGGCACAGTACTTGATCAATGTAATTCTCATCAATCATTTAAAGAGCTGTCCAAAAGGGGGAAAAAAGTTTTGCACTCTTCAAACCTCCCAAAAATGACCTGTTTTTTTTTAAAGGCATAAATAGCCTTAGGGGGGCTTGCAGAGTGCTCTGCGGGGGCAAAAATGGGCCCATTTTTTGTCAAAAAATTGCATGCATAGCCTTATGGAGGCTTATAGAGTGCTGCTGAGGGCTTTGGGCACAAAAACGGTCCATTTTATGCTCATTTCTGTCCTCCCCAGCCCCCAGGAGCTCTCTGAAAGCCTCCATAAAGGTATGCACAGCCATTTTGGTGAAGAGGCGGGGCTTCGGGAGGCAAAAATCTGTATTTGATGTGTAAGACACACCCAGATTTTCAGCTTCTTTTTTGAGGAAAAAAGGTGCGTCTTATACTCCGAAAAATACGGCAGTCCTCGACTTATGACCACAATTGAGCCCCAAATTCCTGTTGCTAAATGAGACAGTTGCCCCGTTTTATGGCCTTTCTTGCCACAGTTGTTAAGTGCCATTGCAGTTGTCAAGTTAGTGATACGGTTGTTAAGTGAATCTGTAGATTTCTTTCATTAGACATGTCAGTTTTGCTATCTCCATCGGGTCCCTAATGTCACATATCCAATCTTCCAGGTGTGGATGTTCTTTATTTTTCCATTTATTTGTCCATTTCTACCCATATAATTATCTTGCTGCATTTCATATCATATACACCATGCATTTTACTCAGTCCTTCTTTCATTAACTCTAATAAGTACAATTCTGCTTTCATCTGACAAGAGATTCTTATTATGAATGAAGGCAAATATATGTTTCCCAGGATAATGTGGCAGGATCGAATCTGAGTCTCAGAGACTGAGGTTCCCAGAACATGGGCTCCAGCACAACTCTTGAAAGCTCAGAAAACTAAACCTGGCCCCAGTTACTAACTCAGACTGGATCCCTATTATTTTCACCAATGTCCTTTGGATCGCTGACCCAAAATATTTTCGTCACTTTACAAGTCTGTTACATATGATATTATGTTTCATCCCCTCTTCCACATTTCCAACATTTACGATACTTGAAACATCCTTACACATTTTTGATAGTAATTTAATTTTAGTAATTTAATAAATTTGTATGCCGCCCAATCCCATAGGACTTGATAGCTTCACAATTGTCAAATACCATCTATACATCAATTTGTAAAAACTTTCTCTTAAATTATTGCACAAAGTGAATTTAGTTTTGATGGGATTCTATTCCAAAGGACTTTCTCCAACCCTTTCATGTAGATGTTAATCCGCATAGGGAACAAGATAGAATTATATAGAACATGATTTGCTAGTGACAAGAAAATTGAATAGTAGTCCCTATGGTATTTTGTGGCTAAACCCTAATCCTAAAAGTCAGAATTGAACAGGACTGAAAAATAGGGCCCAACCCTAAGGGACATCCTGAAAATATAATATTAACATGTAGATTTCTGAATTATTTTAGCTTGTCCTCTTACAACATTATTATTTTAATTTGTGGGTAAAAAGTGGGTATAAAATTTCTGCAGCAATAGAAAAGGAGACCATGGAATGCATCATCAGCAGGTGTTCTATGCATCACCTTCCTGATCTTTTAAAATACAGAAGCAATAAAACTGAATTAGTCACAGTTTTCTGATTAAAATATATTCATACAATCTTAATTTTGTCTGATAATTCTCACTTTGATCATAGTCTGTTGTCCTATTTTCCTGATTCAGGAAAAGAGGCTACCCTGCTGATACAACATCTGACCAAGCTGAATACAGCAGAAGAAAAATTGGAGCTCTTATTTAAGAAGTATGCAGAACTGGTTAGTATGAAGATCCATTTGGGGG